GGGTTTGATCTCTGTCACACATCAACATGAATGAGCCATAGGTGTACATATGTCCCCTCCCTCTTGAAACCCTCCCACCACCCATGCTTTCCCACCCTTCTAGGTTGTCACAGAGGCCTGATTTGAGTTCCCTGAATTATATAGCAAATTTCCACTGGCTGTCTATTTTACCTATGGTAGTATATGTGCTTCCACGCTACTCACACCATTCGTCTCACCCTCTCCTTCCTTCCCCCAACCCATCTCCGTGAGTCTTTTCTCTATGTCTGCGTCTCCACTGTTGCCCTGAAAATAGGTTCATCGGTACTATCAAAAAAGATCAGAGTTTATTTTGATGACCAGCTGAAAAAGTACACAAAACACTTAGCACAATGTTTGCATATGGAAACAGCTTAATACATATTTTATAATTTAATTCATTGCTCTTCTCAATGTGGTTCTAAACTTACTCTTTTAGCTTACCTTTTTAACCTTACCCTCCATTCTAATAGGACACATGAATATGTATCCACTTTTCTGCTCTAGTGCTTTTATTTATAATGTTTTTTTTCTTATCATTATTTATCTCTGCCTTTGAAATCCTTTCAATGATAGGTCCTTCTCAAAGGCTCTCTTCATGAGGATTTTCCTGGTTTGAGATTCTCTGGTCCAAGTTGATAGAATTGTTTCTTACCTTAATCCCACGGCACCTTGTTTATAGCTCTCAGATGACAAGCAACATAGACTATGTGGTAATGTAATTGTCTGGGTACTTGGCTCATCTTTTCTGGGTTATAAAGTCTCTGGAGGCAGAACTTGCATCTAATTAATACTGCATCTTTATAAAGCCTCACATAGTAATTTGAATAATACTTGCACTCAAAATGCGTTTGAATTTAATTTGTGTTATCTTTTTCTAAATTTATTAAGATAATACTTGGCTCCTACAACAAAAAGACCCCAAATTGCTCTAGCTTGATTGAGATAGAAGTTAATTACCTTGAGGGGAGGCAGTCACCCTCGTCCCTCCATGAGTAGATCTGGGAACCCAGTTTCCTCTTTTTGTTCCATTTCCTTGGTGGCTACCTCATCTGCATGGTAGAAGCTAGCTTACCTGCTTCATGTTCCCCAAACAGCTTGTGGGGAGAGGATGAGGAAGTGGAAGGCAAGCTATTTTCCAATAAGGAAGCACCACAATGCTGCTGCTGCTAAGTCGCTTCAGTCGTGTCTGATTCTGTGCGACCCCATAGACAGCAGCCCACCAGACTCCCCCATCCCTGGGATTCTCCAGGCAAGAACACTGGGGCGGATTGCCATCTCCTTCTCCGGTGCATGAAAGTGAAAAGTGAAAGTGAAGTCATTCAGTTGGGTCTGACTCTTCTCGACCCCATAGATGGCAGCCTACCAGGCTCCTCTGTCCTTGGGATTCTCCAGGCAAGAATGTTGGAGTGGGGTGCCATTTCCTTCTCCAAGGAAGCACCACAATAGGTTAGATTATAATACAATAGATTCCATTGACACGCCAATGATAAGAGGTTAATTACATGCCACAAGCTGAACTAAAGGGAGAGGAGGACGCATAGCCTCTAGATGAGTGGAAAGTCATGTCACCATATACTCAGCACCTTTCTCTGTCCAAACGAAGGCTCAGAAAATGAAAGACTAGAGGGTAATTAGCAGTCTTTGCCACACCTCCTCATGAAGTCATTTGCTATTTTATACTATGATTTTATTCTCTCTGTGTCTTCTTATAACTAGATCACTTAGATTAAATCATTCTAAAGAATTGAGTATTTTGGCTAGTTAAGTATGTATATGGCACTAAAAATTTTTATTTGAGTATTTTGAGTAGAAATCTTTCAACTTTTATTGCAGCTTCAGTGAAATTGTTAAGCCTATTTCAATCATTTCTTAAATGCTTAGGGTTATCTTTACAAACATTAACTATTTTACTGAGCTGAAATAGAGGTCCTCAGACATGATGGTTCAGGTTCCTCTTAATAAATGTTCACTGCTCCATTGCAATGTAATAGAGTGATGCCCTTGGATACTCACCAGCCTTTTATTCTGTCGTCTTAAAAAATATTTACAACCTAAAAGTTGAGAGTTATGTTTTATTTGGTGGAAATTCTTCGGACTTATGCCCAGAGCATCTCAAGTAACCCTAAGAGAACTGCTCCAAGGAGGGGAGGGATAGGAGCAAAATTATATAGAAGTTTGCCAACAAAGGGTAGGTAGTCAACAGAAGATTACTGTTAATTAAAGAAAACCTGATATCCCATTAAGGAATATAGCGCTTTCTATGTATGGGAAGATGCAAGAGTCTGAGCTCACTGCAATCATTCCTTCCATATGCGTGTCAGCTATCGGGGCCAGTATCCTGTGCTTTTCACATCCTGAGTTCTCCTGGGGCTCACCATAGGGAATGGCTGCAGTCTGATGGCTGTCAGGTCACAGGTATTCTTTTCCTTTTTGAGTGCCTTTAGGCCTCATCAGCTCCTGTTGGAGGGCTCTAATCGCTGATGACTGTGACAGCCTTGTTTACTAATATAGCAGGAGATACTCCATTTCTCAGTTCCCATACTCTGTGTTCCTAGTACTCACATCTGTTTCAAAGCAATACCCGCATCTCTTCCCTTTGCTGTTAAGACTTTAAGTTGGTAATGCTTGCTGGTGTCAGTGCAAATGCCTACTTGTCTCTTTTCTTTTTACTGCATATTTTATAGGTTTAGAAGTCAAACAAAAACTATGCCTGGAACAGTTCTAGGTATTTTACATATTTTAATTAATTTTATTCTAAAAGAACTCTATCAAAGGTATTGTTTTCCTCATCTTACCCGTGATAAAACAGAGCACTGAGTTTAAGTAACTTAAGGTCACAGAGTTGGTAAACACCTGAGCCAAGGTTCAACTCAGTCTGACTCTGGAGTCCATGCTCTTAATAATGATACTGTGCTGCCTTTAGGCTTCTTCAAATTCTGTTTGAATTAAGAATGAATAGATTCTGAAAAAGGGTGAGAGGTACTCGTGCAAAAATAGCATTTTTGGTCATTAGGACATTCTCTCCTTGCTCTATTATGGAATTGAAAGGAAGACAGCTTCCACAAAGGTGAGGTAATATGGCCAGTTATGTCAGAAAACAGTGAGGGAGCTTACTCTATACCATGCGGAGTAGCTCAATTATAAAGCAGGGATTCAGAGGTGAAATCCAGTGTTTCTTCTCGTCTATGTTTGACATCACTGTAATTAGAAGCCTATTCATTCTCTTTTTTAAGTGGACCAAGTAATTTGCTGGCTCTTGACCTGGAGTCCATGTGAAGCTGCTGTTTCACATATTGACTGTTCATGTCACCAGGATGTCAGAGGGAAAGTTTCAAAGAAAGAAAGGAAAAGTCTAGAGAATGTCACTGGTGTTTTTCTTTGGTGCTATAATATATAATATAAAAGTATTATATATAATATATATTTTATATATTATATAACATATATTTTACATATAATATATATAAAATATAATATATACACTATTATGTATAATAGTATATATAATACAATATATATTTTATATATAATATAATATATAAAGTTTTATATATAATATAAAAGTTTCCAAATATGACTGATATAAAGAAACAAAAGGTCCTCTGTTGGTCAAGGGAAAAAAGTGTTTATCTTATGTGGATAGTTGGTATTAATACTATGTAAGGGAATATGCATTTGAAAAATGCAGTGTAAAGTTTCTGGACAGTGTTTTTAATGTAAAGTATACGTGACAAAGAGCATCTTAGAGTGAAGGGGAGATACTCTTATTATCTAGGAACAATGCCAATAACCAAGAAAATGAGTGAAGTGAAAAAATGCTATGTAAATGCCGTTGGTAGAGTAGGCAGTATCTAAGATTGTTATAACTCCTTAATATTTGATATTTTCTAATGACTTTGAGGCTTTGCTAGTTTGTTTTGATGACTAACAGTTTTTGGAGTGTTCTTGAGTGTTGACTCATTTTCTGCCACAAAACCACCCAGAGATTTTCTTTTATAGCCGAGGTGGCTGCCACCGATTGAAAACTAGGAAGCCTCTTGCCTTAGCTATGGCTGTGAATGGTTTTACTATAAGATAGCAGCATGTTTTGGAGGCCTGCAATTTGGTTTATTATATAAAACAAGTATGGTAGTAGAATTTTCTATGAAATCACATACTTCTACCATTTTGCAATCCTGAACCTCATTAGCCTGTCAAAATGAGTAGTTACATTCATTTTTTATATAACAACACATATAATTACAAGTTATAAAGCTCAGACTGTAGCATATAAAGAAAGTAAACTAACCTATATAGCATAAAAATGAGTGTGAAGGGTGTAGTGGTCCAGTAGTAAGAAACTTTTTCTATTTAGAACCTGATATTGGCAGACATAAGTATTTCTACCTCAAACCATCAGATATTCCCATTTCCTTTTTCTACTCCCCATCTCACTTAACTATAAGAACACAGGTGTAAATTGGTGACTACTGAGCCCCTTGAAAAGTTAAAAAAAAAAAAAGAGTATATTGAAGTTGTTGGCCTCCTGCCAAAGTGCGTATCAGCTTATACAGATTTCCTTCTATTTGAGCAATAGGAAGCAGTATCTGTTTTCAAGGATGTACTAGCTTCAAGTATTTAAACCTCTTTAGGGATCATACCACTATTCTAGATGGCTCTAGGAAAAAGTAGTGGCCCAAGATCAAAGCCGAAATTCTTGACTTAGAATAAGAATTTTAAGCCGGTTTATTTGGCCCTGCCTCTGAATTTGAACTAGAGCTATGTCAGGTACAATCTTGAGCATTTAGTTTTGTAACCTTGGTTTGATGTTTTGGATATAATCATTTTCCTTGTGATCCGATAATCCATGTTAGATTCCCTGGTGAGGCTGAGGTCACGCTTCGCTTGCCACGGTCACGGCAAATCTAAGTACTTTCGCTGTAATGTGTGACTGTGAATGTAACCCCAGGTCTACTTGTTGCCTTCTCCTCTTGTTGCAGGAGAGGTACCCCGTCCAGAATGGGCTCTTGTCTAACAATTGGAAATGAACTTTCCGAGGAGATACATGTGCTTACAAAGCAAAAGACCTTATTGGAACGGCGTGCCGGGATGGAGAACAATGCGGTAAGGGAAACCAGGAGACCTGCTCTGCCGTGTGGCTTACAGTCTCAGGCCTTATGGTGATGGGGTGAGTTTCTGAATTTTCTCTGGCCAGTCATCTTGCCTTAATTTGACTCAGAGTCCTTCCTGGTGGTGCATGCAGCTCTCAGCCAAGATAGATTCCAGTGCAAAGGATTCTGGGAGTTTGGTAGGGCATATTATGGGCTGGTGTCTTCTTTTTTTTGGCCCCTTCTGAATTTTCCCGGAGTTTTTTCCGTGACAGCACCATGTTCCTCACCGGGACCTCCTGCTGTGAAATAGCTCATGCAAGTGGTTATCATCGTGGCAAGATAAGGTGGGCAGTTTTGACCAGTGGTTCCCTAACACTCTGGCTTTTGCGTCCCTTAATTTGTCTCATTTTTTATCCTATGCAAACCTAGATTCTAAATTCCATCATTTCACTGCATTTCAAGGATGAAAATATCCACTCACACCAAGATTTTAATGGCTTTCCTAGAACTGATGGAAGATTTGAGAGTCATGGTGATGAGTGCGTTGTCCTCATGAGTGTTTGCCTCATTTTTTCTGTGTATTACTCTTATTTTGCCTTGGAATTCTCCAAACTCTTTTTGTTACAAAGAGTATTCCACATTCCCTCCAAGCTTTCATTGATTGATGAGTAGGCCTTGAGGGGCTTAACTTTTACTCTAAAGACCTTTCATAAGTCTTTCCAGCAAAAAGAGCTCTCTGCCACAGAAGAATTACAGCCTCAGCTATCAGCTGTTATAAACTTAAACTATCCTATTATGAGTAATAGCTAAGTTATTTTATTAATTGCTTTCCTCCGTACATCTCTCTCTTCTTTCATTTTTTTTTCATTATTCTTTCTTCTGTTTCTCCCTCCTTTCCTTTCTTCTCTCCTCTTTTCCATCCTACCTGGCACACCTTATATGTACTAGACACCCTTCTAGGCACTAAGATAAGGATGTATACAATAAGTCCTTTCGAGAAGCATCAGTACAGAAAGAAGAGACAGAAGAACCCCATAATGTGGGAGGTTGAGAAGGAGGCAGAGAATCTTCGGTCATTTCATGGTTGCTAATTTGGTGGATTGCTTTGATGTTATTGTTGTTTAGTCACTAAGTCATGTCTGACCCTTCGTGACCCCAGGGAATGGACTATAGCCTGCAAGACTCTTCTGTCCATGGGATTTCTCCTGCAAGAAGACTGGGGTGGGTTGCCCTTTCCTTCTCCAATGACTTTGATAGGAATGCCATTAATAGAAAATATTATACAAGAAGAAGGTTTAGGCAGAAATGATAAGTTTGGTTTTCAACATGATGAAGTTTTATGTACCTGCAAGATACCTGAGAAGAACAGAATTCAGTTTGGAGTTTACGAACGAGATTAAAGTTAGAATGTAATTTTCAGAGTCACCAGCATGTGTGGGTGAGATTATACAGGAAGGAGAAAGAGAATAAAAAGAAAAGGGGGTCAAAAAAAAAGGGTGTAATTTTAAATAGCATCCACATTTTACAGCACTCAGTAAAAGTAAAAAAGTAAAAACGAAGGAACACAGTAAAAGTAAAATGTTATGTGGAGACTAACCCATTTCATTTCCAAACTCTTGCCTTCTTTTTATGACCTTGAAACTTTGGAGACCATAGATATAAAAAGTGACTATCAAGATAAGATGAGCATGGAGTTCTACTTTAAGAAGGAGAGGAGACTCATCCTAAGGGAGCTGAGCAACTGACAGTTACAATGTTTCAGAAAGAAAAAGCTCACTGAAGACTGAAAGGGGGTGTTGAGTGAGTATTCTGTCTTATTTAACCTATTGTTGTCAATTGTTCCATCTTGCTCTGTTCCAGCAAAGCTGGAGGGCAGACAGTCACCAGCTGTGTCACTTTTTTTGTCTATTTTCCCCCCAAGGTTTTCCATTCAGTTCCATTCTTTTATGTATTTATTTTAATGCAGTGTGAGGTTTTTAAAAAAAATATTTATTTGGCTGCTCCAGGTCTTCATTGCAGCATGCAGGATTTCTAGTTGTGTTACTCCAGCTTAGTTCCCCCATGGCATGTGGGATCTTAGTTCCCTGACCGGGGATTGAACCCACTTCCCCTGCCTTGGAAGGCAGATTCTTAACCATTGGGCCACCAAGAAAGTCCTAGTTCCATTCTTTTAAATATTATTTTGTGTGTCTTCTCAGAAACGTATTCTAGTTTTAAAAATTTCTATAAATTCCTTATTGAATCTTTATCTTGACAGAGCCCTACTAATTGAGTTAATGCTTCATTTGATCTCACGCTTTTATTAATTCACTCCAAGATAGCAGTTGTTTATTTGAAAGCATGCTGAATTCCTGGGTCATATTCAACCTGAATTGCCTGATTATCTCTGTATTTATTTTGTTTACATTTCTGCATAGACTGAAGTCAGTAGATCTTAGTATGTCATGATAGCAACTTGTTTCAAAGGGTATGATTTTAGGAAGCCTGAATATTTTTTGTTTTGTTTGTTCTTTTGACTGATATGGAGGGATACAGTCTAAGTAAACATAATGGAAAAGAAAGGCATTTATTAAAAAGGTTTTTCAGTTAACAGAATTCACACTGAACATTCCTATAAGCATGGAGAGTGGTCAGTAGAGCTTTTTCAAATTAACAGTAATAAATGTCTTCCCAGTCCTACAAGAACACAAGAAATTGAACACTTTAGATGCCTAAAGACAGCAGAAAGTTGTCTTATATCATAAATTTCTTTGCATTTGACATCTCACAAAAAAGTGATTTTATTCTGCTATTTTCTATAAAATATGTGATTGGTTTTATGATCACTTTACATTATTTTATTACTTTTATAAGGTCCTTGCAATAAATTTCAGTGTATTTTTTACAGGGAGAACAAAAGGATAAAATTGCAATGGGGCTGAAATACTTTCTTTTTATACCTAAACATTTATACTATAAGTTTATGTGAAACTTTGTGATCACAAGGCCAGTGAGTCTAAAGATGTATTTATATTTCATCCTTTTGGGGGGAAAGCATATTTCCAGTCCAAGTTGGATGCCAGGGTTCCTATGACCAAGACTCGAGTTCAATTCAAACAAATCATCAGGGATGGGGAAGAAGCTGCTGGAGGTCCTGGCCACAGCCTTTAGGGCCTCGAAGTCTTTCTTCAGACTCTTCCATCCCAAGGAGATGCATTAATCACAAGGGTCATTGATCCAGAGCAGTGTTTCTAATAAGACATTGTAGGAGCTGAGATGCTCAATTTTAAAGCATTTTTATGATGATCTTTTTCAAATATACAGCACAGTTGAGAGAATTTACAATGAAAAACAACACCATATATAACCACAACCCAAATTCTCACTTATATTGTTCTATAGGACCTTTATCACCTATTTATATATCTTTTATCCTCCCTTTAATCCATTTTTTCATTCTAATGTATTTCAAAGGAAATTGCAGATATCAGTACAGTTATCCCTAAATATTTCAGCATGCATATATAATGAACCAGAATTTAATACTGAATTACTATTTTTAAAATATACAAGCATTACCAGCTCAGGCATTGAGTTTTGCCCAATGAGTGTGCATGCTAAGTTGTTTCAGTCATGTCTGACTCTTTGCCACCCTGTGGATTGTAACTTGCCAGACTCCTCTGTCCATGGAATTCTCCAGGCAAGAATACTGTAGTGGGTTGAAATGCCATCTTCCATGGGATCTTCTGGATCCAGGGATCGAACCTGCATCTCCTACATCTCCTGCATTGGCAGATGGGTTCCTTTACCACTAGTGCCACCTGGGAAGCCCACCCAATGAATACACTTGTTAAAATCAAACCCATGTCAAGATATAGGATATTATCTATGGAAGAAAGAAGATTCAAGTCTGCAACTCTGTTTATATTTTGCAGCTGATTTTCTCTACTGCTGTTCTCATACTATCATTCTCTTTTATTCATTACAGTTATTGAAGAAATTTTAACCGATTTCCATTGTCATCTTGATATTTATCTTAAATTCTGGGCAGTAGTGTCAGTAATTATTACCTTTTACAGATACACAGAGAAGCGACATTATCACACTTGGTTAAGGTTTAGAAATCAGAACCTAAGGCCAAATCGCCAGGAATATTTAATGGCTGTCATGGTCCCTTAGAAAAGGATGGAGGTAAAAATACAAAGTATTGGACATAGGATAGACAGAAGTTTGCTGTGATACTATTCATAGCAGAAGTCCTGGATTTGGTAGTTAAAAATGAAATATATCAAAGAAAAGCCGTGTAACAAATACCTACTTTTTGTAGGTATGCCTGCAAGCTATGTTATCATGCCTTCATTCAGCAAGTATTTACTGATGGCATACTATGTGCCAGGCAGTGTTTTGGGGGTTAGTGGCCCATCAGTGAACAAAACAGAAAACAAATTCCCTCATAAAGTTTACATTTTGATGAGTGGAAACAGAAAATAAGGAAATGAATAATCATTTAATTATGAGGTGATAACTGCTATGAAAAAAAATAATGCATTTGGAGGGTGAAACTTTAAAGGGATGGTCTAATTAAGAAGAGAACATATGAGCAAAGACTTGGAAAACACAAGAGAGTAATAAACTTTGTGGAAATCTGAAGTAAGATTGTCACAGGCCAAGAGACATGTGCTTGTATGAACAAATTGAGACCAGTGAGGCTGAAGTGAAGTGAATGGTCTATAGGTAGTAGCTGAGAGCAGAAAGGTGGAAAGAGATCCTGTTGTTGTAAGGACTTTGTGATTTATCCTCAGTGAGCAATTTATACTGTTGAAGGAGTGATGTGATTGGACATGTCTAGATGGATCATTCTGGCTCTCGGTTGGGAATAAATTGAAGGGGGCAAAAATGCAAGTAGGGCTATCATCTAAGCATGAATAGACCCTTCTCTGTGGCTAGGAATTATACGAATTTTGAGTGTAGTACAGATGGAGTGGGCCAAAAGGGTAACTTTTCTGGTGGCTTAGCGGTAATCTGCCTGCAGTGCAGGAGTGGCAAGAGAAGCAACTTTGATCGCTGGCTTGAGAAGGTCTCCTGGAGAAGGGGACAACCCACTCCAGTATTCTTGCCTGGTGAAGCCCATGGACAGAGGAGCCTGGCGGGCTACAGTCCATAGGGTCACAGAGAGTCAGACACCACAACGGAAGCAACTTAGTACACATGCGATAGGGAAACTACAATTGAAAAGATGACTGAGAATTTCTTTGTGCAAAGGCTATGGTGCATTTGTGTCTGCTCTGTGTGCTGGTGGTGGTTGCTGAATCTATACGCCTTTCGTATGCTTATGGTGACTAAACCTGCAATTGTGAATTTATCTTTGCCCCTTGAAATTCTGTTCTTTGCAGTTCTGTCCTTCAAAAGTACTTCTTGCATCAGTTATACCTGGTGGCTTATCTCACTGAATATTTGCTCAACTATCATTGAAAAATATTTTAACTCTGCTCAAGGACAAAAACTTCCCTAAAACTAATAATAATGAATTTGGAAAGGTATTATGTTAGGAGCCCTTCCAGGACTAATGGACTAGGCAATCTCAGGAGTGTAATATTTAGAAGAGTATGAGTCAATAGAAATTAACTAAGTGTTTAAAATAGTAAATATTTTATGTCTAAGACAAATTGGATTTTAAAAGTCATCAAGACTATGGAATTGAAGCAAATAGTAAGGCAGTTCATTCTTTGCTGTGAGATATTAAGAAGAATATCGAGCTTTCAGGAAAAATGAAATAGTAGACAGAAAAATTACTCATCAGAGTTAGTTATTTCTGAATTGTGATATATGAATAATTGAAGTGATCAAACCAATAAGGTCCAAAGCTTAAAGTAATTATATAGGTTTTAATTTAATTTTCTACAAATTTGGGAGTTCAAAAATATAATTTTATTTTTCTACAACTGAAATTAATTTCTGTCCCCTGCCTAGTGGCACCAGTTTAACCATGGTCATTTTAGTTAATTCAGCAATTTCTCAGTCCATTCAGGATTTTCTCCTTTCAATCCTGCCTAAGAGAATATATATTATATGTATTCTGAGGGGCTTTCTCCAGTGCCCAGCACCAGAGGGGTGGAACATCTGTTCTGCAGCTGTCATTTGTCCTTGTTGGCATCCGTTGTCACCTTCCAGTGACTATCTACCACCTCAGGTCACAGAGGCCACCTGTACTTCCTACAGGCCTCCTGCTGGTCATTATCTCATGGGCTTCTTCTCACGGCTGCTGACTTCATCAGGCCCCCAAAGGAGAGTCCTGCTGTTAAAGGATTTCACCTGATTAAGTCAGATCCATATTGGATAATCCCTCTTTTGATAATAACTTCAAATCAGATTGTTTGAGACTTTAATTACATTGGAATACCTTCCACTTTGGGGTTCCCAGGTGGCTCAGTGGTAAAGAATCCACCTGCCAAGAAGGAGACCCGGGTTTGATTCCTGGGTTGGGAAGATCCCCTGGAGAAGGAAATGGCAACCTACTGGATCCAGCATTCTTGCCTGGGAAATCCCAGGGACAGAGGAGCTTGCCAGTTTATAGTCCATGGAGTCTCCATGAGTTTGCAAAGAGTCAGACTTGACTGAACATGCCACCAGTCATGCAACCTTACATGTTTGCTGTATTCTGTTAGAAGCAACTCACAGGTCCCATCTGTGCTCAAGGGTGATGCCATGGGGGCTACCCTAGAGTCTGTCTAACAGTCTGGAAGAGTTTCTTGATGTTATCTGCTAG